CCTAAACATTAGAAAATTCTAGTTTTGGGTTTCTTCGGCGCTTCTTGGTGGCTCTCTGGGCGGCCTTGTGAGCGGGTGGGGACCTCTTTTTTTGTAGGAATTGTTAAAGTTCCTTGGCTGTCAATGTCAAGTTTCCCGGGGCCGTCTTCGGGCGGCGTGGCCGTGTCTGGGGGCTGTCCAAGGCGACTCCAGGCCGCCGGTCAGCGCTGGGGAGAGCCAGGGAGAGCGCCCCGGCAGGATGGAAAATCCGAAATTCGTTCGGGGGGGGGGGGGGGGGGCGCTCCCGGGGGGGGGGGGGGCTCTCCCCGGCGTGTAAAAACATATAAATAGGAATATGTATATATGTATGTATATGTTATATTATATTAGATTATATTATATTATAGTATGATATATCATATTATAGTGTAGTATATTATATTATATTATATAATATAATATTATATTATATTATATTATATCATAGCATATCATATTATATTATATGATATTATATTATATCATATTATATTATATTATAATATATTATATTATATTATATTATTATATTATACTATATTGTATTATATTGTACTGTATTATATTATATTATATGATATTATATGATATGAAATGATATTATATTATATTCTATTATATTGTATTGTATTGTATTATATTATATTATATTATATTATATGATAATATGTTGTATTATATATATATATATATGTTCCGACGCGCGCGCTGAGCGGTCGTGGCGCCGCGCGGCGGCGCCCAACGCCTCGAGAGGCGGTGCCCTGCTCAGGCGGTTGCACCTAATTGGGTGGGAAGGGGCCGCCCGCCACACACGACCCGCACGGAGGAGTGCAGGACTGCGCGTGTGACGGACAGCTGCCTCCGCGAGCGTCATTGGCAACACGCCGCATGTCGGGGCGGCGCCGACGGAAAGCGCTCACCCTCCGACGCGCGCTTCGCCCATGCCAGTCAAGCGCCCCCGACGGGGGTGGTCGCGGGTCATTCGTGCGTCCAAGATGACCCAAGATGGCTCCAAGAGGGCCTCGGAGAGTCCAAGACGGCCTCCAAGATGGGGCTCGCGTCCCCCTCGCCGAAGAGGCGGCCGCGCGTGCGACGAAGAGTCGACCAGCGACTAGGGCGGCTGAAGGCGACTGCAGGCAGACCCTGCGGCGCGAAATGCTGCGGCCACCACGACGACCATCGGAAGACCTCCTGGTGAGACTCGCTGTGGCGGACCACCGCTAGTGGTTCACCTAACGCGTCGAGGACCCACCCTCAGCGCCCCTCTAGTGGTTCACGTAACGCGTCGAGGACCCACCCTCAGCGCCCCTAACGGGGACTCCACTGACGGGTACTTTGGCCAGTGACCCGGCGAACCCAACCCTCCCCGATGTGCCAGAGGGAGGCCCTCAAATGGCAACTGTCGGCACCTTCCCCAGGTGCCCGCTCGTGAGTACCCGCCACGGTGCCGCTGACACCCAATGCGCTTCCTCAGCGCCTGCCAGGCGGCTCAGGAGACTTGGCGCCCACGCCTCTCCGCGCGGCGGGGGCCGCCGCGGCCTCGGCGGCCGGCATGTGCTGCCGTGTGCAGATGCTGGCCCGTGCATGGCTGCCCTCTCCCTTGCTTCGCGGCGGTGGCTGTCCTGGGCGCCCCCACCGTGTTCCGCCGTGCTACAGGCCTCGGAAAAAATTAGCGAACACTCATGCCACATTCATCTGTGAACGCCTCCCCCTTCCCCCAATGTCCAAAGTTGGCGGCGGGTCTGATGAGTTGCACCTCGACCGCAGTCTCCCCCCCGCGTGCCAACTTTGAGTTTTGGGGGCAGGGGGGGTGTTCACTAATTGTTTCCCTCTACCGTAGCCGCGCACCTTCGGCGTCGTCTGCGCGGCCCGCGCGCTCTGCTGTGGGCATGGGTCTTGGCCGAGCGCAGGGGCCATTCGCACGCGCGGTGCGCACCGGCGGCCGGCCGGACGGGCGGCGCGTCGTCGTCGGCCTCGCGGCGGCGGCGGCGGCACCCCTGGCCGCGAGAGCGCGCCTCGGCAGCCGGGGCGGAGGCGGCCTGCGCGGCGTCGCCAGCGGCGCGGCCCCCGCCTCTTGCGGGGCGGGCACAGCCTCGCGGACAGGCGGCACGCCTCCTCCTCCTCCTCCTCCTCCTCCTCCTCCGAAGCCGGGGCGGGCACAGCCTCGCGGACAGGCGGCACGCCTCCTCCTCCTCCTCCTCCTCCGAAGGCCGGGCCCCGCTGGCGCTGGCGGCTCCCGCGGAGCCGAGGTCTCCGCGAGATGGGAGCGGGTGCCAGCGCCTCCACCAGGGTGGCCGCTCGGGCAGCCAAGGGGCCTGCCGACCCCTGGCGTCCCGCTGCGGCCATGCGCCGCAGAGGGCCGCTGGCAGACACTCGCAGCCGGCCAGAGGTCGGCGGATCCCGAAGCGGGCTCGGGTCGCGGAGCCTCGGCGATCGAGCTCCGAGCGAGCCCGATATTCACGCTGTCCAGCAAGCGCCTGGCCAACGGCGCGACGATGAAGCCCCGTTGGCCTGCCGCGTTGCTGCTCAGCTCCCACTGCGGGAGCCGTCGGTGCGCGCGCGGGCGCGGCGATGCGGCGCGGCCATTGGCCCAGCGGGAAGCGCTGCCACCGCCCCGGCCGCGCGGCAGGCGCCCTGGCCGCGGCAGCCGGCGCAGGCGGCTCTCGGAGGCAGGACGGGCCCTGCCGCTGCGCCGCGCTGTTCGCGAGCAGCGCCCCACCCCCACCCCCACCGCCACCCCCGCACAGACACAGACACAGACACAGACACAGACACAGACACAGACACAGACACAGACACAGACACAGACAAAGACACAGACACAGACACAGACACAGACACAGACACAGACACAGACACAGGCACAGACACAGACACAGACACAGACACACACACACACACAAAAAAAAAAGCACGACTGTGGGGACGGGATGCCTGGCCTCCCAGGTTTCGCGACGAGCTCCCAAGAAAGTTGGGAAGGGTCTTGCCCCCTGCGCTAGTCTGCACATGTGGCAGGCTCGCTCCGTCCTCCTCTCTCCTCCCTCCTCCTCCCTCCTCCTCCTCCTCCTCCTCCCTCCCCCTCCCTCCTCCTTCCTCCTCCTCCCTCCATCTCTCTCCTCCTCCTCTCCCCTCTCCTCCTCCTCCTCCTCCTCCTCCTCCTGCTCCTGCTCCTCCTCCTCCTCCTGCTCCTCCTCCTCCTGCTCCTTCCTCCTGCTCCTCCATCCCTCGTATCGTCCCTCTGCGTTCACACCTGCTGGTCCTCGCCCCCTCCTTTATTTCCCTCATCCTTAGGACACGATCCGCGTCTCGTGTGCCCGCACACATGGCAGGCCCGTCCCGCACAGCCGCCCGCGTGGGCGGCCCACATCCGCAGCCTCGCGCCCGGTGCGGCAGGACTTCCCCGAGACTCTTGGCGAGGGCTCCCTCCCGGACCACTCAGCTCGAGATCGGCACGCCAGGGCGTGGGTGCGGAAGGAACGTGCGGTGCCCAGCAGCAAGGGTAGTCCAGAGCCTGCAGCGGCCGCCGCTGGGCAGGCGACCCTCCCGGTCTCGGGTGGGCAGCGGTCCGCGGCGACGCCGACAGCGAGTCCTGCTCGAAACGGGCAGTACTTTCCGTACCCACCTGGCCGCGTCCATGTTGTCGCCTCGCCACCTTGCGGCAGTCACACACCAGCGCTGGCGGGCATGCTGTGCGACACCCCTCGCGGGAGGGCCCCACGGAGCTGGCGTGACGCCGTGTTGGCCCCGTGACCCGCACGAAGCCAGAAATGCGGCCCGCTGGCCGCGGCCGCCGCTCCAGGTACAGAGCCCTCGTGCCTCGCGAGCCGAACGGGCGGCGGCCATCGCACCGGCGGGAGGCCCGGGAGCCCGCGCCTGCCACGGGCCGCGTGCTGGCCCTCGGGCGCCGAGAGCTCTGGGGAGGCCCTGTGGCCCACCTGCCAAGAAGGGCGCGCAGAGCGAGGAGCCGAGCGCTGCTCCCGAGGTCGTGGCCCCGGCCAGCCGTGCAGCAGCGGCTGCGCTCGCGCGCGCCCCCCCCGCTCTCCCCTTCTTTTATGTTGCCTCCTCCTCCTCCTCCTCCTCCTCCTCCTCCTCCTCCTCCTCCTCCTCCTCCTCCTCCTTAAGGACCACATCACAGAAATGATTTCGAGCACCCAGAAAAATATCGAGACCGAGTCGAAGGAGTAGTGTCTCCCAGGGCCCGACGCGTGAAAGCCCTCGAGTTTCGGTACTAGCTTGGTGCTCGAAATTCTTTCTGGTGATCAAGGCTGAAGTAGGTTGATCTAAATTGGTCATCTTTTTGGTGCTCGATAGACTGAAGTGATTGGTCATCTTTCTGGTGCTCGAAACTACTTCTGGTGATCTTTCTGGCGTTCGAATCGAACCCTTCTGCCCTCCCCCTCCGTGCCCCTCCCTCCTGCCTAGCGAGGGGGCTGCAGGGGAGGGGGGGGGGCAGGGGGTTGCCTGGGGAAGAGGGGGAGAGAGGCGGAGAGGGAAGCGGAGAGGGGAACGGAGGGGAGGAGCAGCGGGAGCGGAGCGGAGAAGGAGCGGAGCGGGAGGGGAGGGGAGGAGCTGACGCTTCGAGCGCTCGCCCCCGCTGAGTGGTCAAGACAAAAGGGGGCGTGAAGGGGGGGAGGGCTGGTGGGCTTGTGCTCCACCGCCACCAGCGCAAGTAGGAGGGGGAGGGGGTCCTCCTCCTCCTCCTCTTCCTCCTCGTCCTCCACCTCCTTCCCCCCTCCAGCTTGTGGTGGTGGTGGTGGTGGTGGCAAACAGGCCCACCAACAAAGGCTCCCAACTTCGCGCTTCGCGCTGCGCGAAGCGCGAAGTGCGGATAACTTCGCGCTCTCGCGCCGCCTCCCAGGGGAGAAGAGGAGGATGAGGAGGAATCGGAGCCGAACCGCGAAGCGCAAGGCGCGAACAACTTCGCGCCCCCGACGGCGCCCTTGATCAAGGGCGTCTGCCCCCGTCCCTGCCCCCCTGGGATCCTTCATGAGCTGCACGAGCGGCGCCACGAGGTCGGCGGACACGACCTCCGGCCCGGCGGCCTCGCACAGCTGGTCGAAAATCTTCGCCACCGCCAGCCGCACGCGCCACGAGCGGTCCTCTGCAGCCCGCGCCGGCGACCGGCGCCCATCGGGCGTGTCCCCCAACAGGGAGATTTTGGACGAACAGTTTCAAATATTCAAAAAATTATCAAAAGATGTCCAAAAATACTCAAAAAATAATCCCCTGACTATTTTTTGACTATTTTTGAACATTCCCCCTGTAGAGGGACAGGCCCGACTAACCATAGAGGCCTCCCAGACGAGGTCGGAGCAGATGGGTTCGGGAGATCGCGCCGCATCGCCGATGCATCGGCGATGCATCGGCGATGCACCGGCGATGCACCGGCGATGCACCAGCGAGGCACCGTCGACGTCGGCGATGAATGCATCGCCGACGTCGGCGCGAAGCAAATCGGGCTGCGCATCGAGCCGCATGGGCAGCGCATCGGCGGTGCGGCGCGATCCTCCGACCCCGTCGACTCCGACGCCATCCAGGAGGCACGGGAGCCGAATTACCCTTAAGTCGGGCTTGTCCCCCTACAGGGGGATTTTCGACGAAATACCCAAAAAATAATCCCAAAATGGTCCAAACATAGTCTGGGGACTATTTTTGGACAAGCTTTGGACCTTATTGGTGTATTTTGGGGGGTATTTCTCATTTGTCGTCGAAAATCCCCCTGTATGGGGGACCGGCCCGACTCAAGATTACCCCAGCCTTGGCCACGCGCGGAGCCCCCGGAGGCCCGGGCGCTGTGCCATCTTTTCCACGCGCGGGCATATCGCCGCCCGACGCCCTGGGCCCCGGGAGGCCCTCGCAGATCGAGCCGGCTCCTCCTCCTCCTCCTCCTCCTCCACCTCCTCCTCCTCCTCCTCCTCCTCCTCCTCCTCCCACCTCCTCCTCCCACCTCCTCCTCCCACCTCCTCCTCCCACCTCCTCCTGTGCCATCTTTTCCGCCACGGGCATATCGCCGCCCGACGCCCTGGGCCCTTTGGAGGCCCTCGCAGATCCAGCCGGCTCGGAGAATGACGCACCGGCGGTGGACAAAGCTCCCTTCAGTAAACCTCCCTCTAGAGGAAACGGCCCGGGACCGAAACCGACGGATCTGGACCCGCAAAGATGACGGCCGCGGCGCCCTCTCGCGAGCCGAAAACGCCCCATTCCTTGAATCGACGTGTCAGGGTAGGAGGTCGGTCCACCTCCGAACGCAGGGAGATGGGGTCCGGGGCTCCGGTCGCGATTTTTCGCGAGGGTGCAGTGTTTGTTTGCAGCGTGGGATTTCAGGGGGGGGGTAGGTAGGGGGAGGGGGGACAGGCTTCTGAGAGGCTCCCCTGCTGCTTAGAAGGCGCGGGCCTTGTCCGTGGGTGTTGGGCCGGCGCCTTCTGAGGGTCAGCCTCCTCCTAAGAAGCCTTCCGCCCTCCCCCTACCTCCTTGAGCGCGTCGCCAAAAGTCCACTCAGAATAACCCCCCCGACCACTCCCGGGGTCCACCCTCGCCAATTTCACGAGCCGCGCCCAGCGGCGGCGGCGGAAACCCTCAGAAACGTCAATAAAAGCCTCCGAAACGAAGGCGTCGTCGCCGCCTTCGTCGCCCGCCTATCCGCGTTTCGAGCCCTTTTTCTCCCTCCCACTCCTCATCATCCTGTCTGCCACAGGCGCTACTCGAAGCAGGCGGCGGGCCCACGCCAGTGGGGACCTCTGTCGGTTGGCGGCGAGCCCGGGAGGGAAGTCAGAGGGGCAGGCCTTCTCAGACGGCGGCGGGGCTTCTCTGAGCTTCCTGGCCCTCTGAGAAGCCGCCTCTGTCTTCGGAGAGGGCTGAGCAAACCTCTTCGAAGGCCGAGCCTTCTGAAATGATATGAAGCGGCCCGCCCCCTCTGACTTCCCTCCTAGGCTCGCCGCCGAGTCGGGGCTGGTCCGACCAGTGGGTGCTGGTCGTCCACCCTGGGGGGCCCGGTGCCCAATGCGTCTGGCGTTGTCGTCCTTTGAAAGGCGCGATCCGCATCCCAGTCACCATCACGTTCACGATCATGATCGCGGTTATCCCCCAGCTCCCGCTCTTATACAAGGTTCTCAAGGGCCTTCGGCCCAACTAGCCGGCCATCGATTTGTGTAGGGCCTTCGAGTTGGGCCATCATCCGTGGCTGGGCGGAGATCGCCAAGTACCCTGGCCATCTGAGCAGGCGAGAGGCGCATCAGGTTGGACGGCGCGGTCTCCGCCGGCTTCGTGCTGGCCCCACAACATCGTAGCTGGCAGCTGTCACGCTGGGAGGCTGTTCAAAAGCAGCCTCCTCCTCCTTCTCCTCCTCCTCCTGATCATCATCATCATCATCATCATCATCATCATCATCATCATCATCATCATCATCATCATCATCATCATCATCATCATCATCATCATCATCATCATCATCATCATCATCATCATCTCATCCATCATCACCATCATCATCATCATCATCATCATCATCATCATCATCATCATCATCATCATCATCATCATCATCATCATCATCATCATCATCATCATCATTCTCTTCTCGTGGCGGCCGAGCACGGGAGGACGCAGAGCACACTTGGGGCCCCGCGTCACCCTGGCCATCGTATTCGACTCTTGCTGCCTGGGCTGCCACGGCGAGGTGCATAGTGCGTATATATCATTCGTGGTCCTCCTGGGCTGGCACCGCGAAGCCAACTGGCCCTGGATGGCGCAAGGCTGGTACCAAAGCTACGGCCTATCTTGGCGGACGCAAAGGATGCGTTCCTCGGCGAAGTATTCGTCGCATCGCCTGCGGCGCCTCCCAACAGGTGAAAAGCGCAACCCAAAGCGCACCCCCCTACACACTCGCGGGGAATCTGGTCGTCCTCCTGCTCCTCCTCCTCCTCCTCCTCCTCCTCCTCCTCCTCCTCCTCCTCCTCCTCCTCCTCCTCCTCCTCCTCCCCTGGCGGCCGATCCTCTGCCGCGTCCTGGATGACGGAGACCGTGTGCTGCCGATTCTCCTCCGGACTGAGCATCCTCGAGATGACCAGCGTGGCATGGACACACGAGACGCGGATCGTGTCCTGAGGACGAGGACAACAGGGGAACTTCGCTGCCTCGATGCGCAACACGCAAGACGCAGCGTATTGACACGGAGCTCAACACGTAGACCGAACACGCAGGTTGGACGCGACACGTTCGCCAAAGCGTGGGCCAGTACGCTGAGCCAACACGCAACGTATTGGCACGGACGTTCTAAGCACGGCACCTGTTGCGTCTCAAAACGGGCGTATCCAGGCAGCTAAGTAAGGGAACGAATAATGACATAGAGATAACAACTGAGATGTCCGCGCGGTTTTCTTGGATCCGCACTGGGGCCCCTTTCGGCGCCTCCGACGCCGCCCCTGGCGCGCGGAGCGCGCCAGGGAGGGGGGGGGGGGGTCCAGCGCGGATCCGAGAAATCCGCGCCGCGGACCTCCGAGCTTGTATGTCTATGTCATTGTTCGCTCCCCTAGAGGAAAAGGGTCAGGACGAGCGAAGGAGAGAAGGAACGGGAGGAAGGACGGAGGAGGAGGAGGAGGAATCGCATCCTGAGTGTCCTGAAGGGACAGCTGCTTGTGCACATTGAGCATGTCGCTAAGGACAACCTGCTTGTCGCAGACGGCGAATAAGTCGCACATCCTGCGCATGGAGCGGTGGAGATCCATAGCGCGGATCTGATGCCACTGTGCCGACGCTGCTCGATCCTCGGGATGCTGCCCGGCCGTGAGTGTGCTCAACCCGAGATGGCGCAGCTCCAGCACACGTTTTCGAGAGCCGGTGGCGCCCAAACCTTCGACCCGAGTTCTCGGACGCGTCAGGCCCGGAGGTTCTCGACCTCATCTCTCGAACGACTCCGTGATGGGGGGTGCCTTGTCTGCGGGCCCCCAGGCACGAGGCGTGCCTCGGGCTGCCGAGCCCCCCCACACACACACACACACACACGGCGAACAGCAACAACAGCAGCAACCACACCAACACCACCAACAGCAATCATTTTGAGACTGTTCGCCCTGATCTGCCCGAGTGTCGATTAACGAGTATTTCCCAAACCCTCGATGTCCGCCCTCTTCGTCTTCGATCGTGCCCTTTTTGGGAGGTATACCTTTCTTCCCTGCAGGCCGGGCCCTGGCAAGCGGCGGGGCGGCCGCGGACCGTCGGCCTTGCCAGCGGCAGCGCTGATCGGCGGCAACCTGACCCCAAGAGGGACAGACAGGGGACCGACCACGACGACGACGACGTCGACGACGACGTCGACGACGACTACGGCGGCGACGACGGCGACGACGACGACGACGAGCGAAACCGAAAGCGAGAGAGAGAGAGAGAGAACGACAGCAGGGCCACGAAGCGCACGAAGTAGGCCACGAAGGGCGACAGCGGGGACACGAAGGGAACGCGCATGGGGCTACGAAGAGCACGAACGAGCGGAGGCCACGAAGGGCAGATCATGCGGGGCCACAGAAGGCAACGACGGGGCCACTGAGGGTAGCAACTGGGCCACGTAGGACAGCGAGGGGGCCACGAAGGGCGACAGCGGGGCCACGAAAGGTATGCAAATGGGGCCACGACGGGCGCGAACGAGGGGGGGCCACGAGGGCATACGTATATTGGGCCGCGGAAGGCAAGGACGGGGCCACTGAGGGCAGCAACGGTGCCACGAAGGGCAGCGAGGGGGCCACAAAGGGCGACAGCGGGGCCACAAAACGCATGCATATGGGGCCACGACGCGCGCGAACGAGCGGGGGCCACGAAGGGCATACATAGATGGGGCCACGAAGGGCAGCGAGGGAATCGCGACGGGCTGCAACGGGGCCACGAAGGGTAGCAAGGGGGCCACGAAGGGCTGCAACGGGGCCACGAAGGGCAGCGAGGGGGCCACGAAAGGCTGCAAAGGGGCCGCGAAGGGCAGCGAGGGGGCCACGAAGGGCAGCAACGGGGCCACGAAGGGCAGCGAGGGGGGCACGAAGTGGTGCAATGGGGCTACGAAGGGCAGCGAGGGAGCCACGAAGGGCTGCAACGGGGCCACGACTGGCAGCGAGGGGGCCACGAAGGGCTGCAACGGGGCCACGAAGGGCAGCGGGAGGGTCACGAAGGGCTGCAACGGGGTCACGAAGGGCAGCGAGGGGGCCACGAAGGGCTGCAATGGAGCCACTTGCAAGCGAGTCTCCAGCGAGAGCGCGACTCCAGAGCGCCGAGAGAGCGAGTCCTGAGTAAATTGTATAGAAGTCCCGAGCGAGAGCGCGACTCCTGAATGACATGCGAAGACGTCTCAGGCGGGAACGGGGGTCTGGGCTAAATTGTGAGGAAGTCTGAGGCGGGAGCCGTAGCTGTTGTAACCCGGGGGCCAGGGGCCCAGTTTGAGCTTCAAGACTTTCCCTGACAAAAAACAGGGTGTGAGCCCCGGGAAGGGCACTTCGATCGAAACAAATAGTGCGCACCGGACGGGGGGGATCAACACTAATTATTATTCAGAAATGAGAGTTCAACAACAACAACAACAACAACAACAACAACAACAACAACAACAACAACAGCAACAACGACGACAACGTCAACGTCAACGTCAACGTCAACGACAACGACAACAACAACAACAACAACAACAACAATCACTTTACCCGAACGCTCAGTGTTCTCACCAGTGCCAGGGTTTTCATGCGACGCCAGCCAATACCCCCACTTTGTGGGGGGGCAGTGCAAGCTCTACCAAATATCCACACGACTCTTCGCCACCACCCACACCCAGCTTCCCGCCCTATGACGTTCGGACACTTCACTTCGTGGCCTGCGGACGACCGTGGCTACTACACTGGCGTGGAGTACACACCCACAGAAGTTGTTAAGCCTACGTTCGTACACCCACAGAAGTTGTTAAGCCTTGTTAACCCACAGAAGTTGTTAAGCCTTCCACAGAACATCTGTTGCATATGATGCAGATGGTACATGATACACATGATACACATGATACTCACAAGATGGAGATTTCGGCGTGCGCGCGCGAAGAAAAAACGAATGTGTCCCGCATGGTATTATTTGACAGGGATGATGGCCCTGGCAGGTGCGCAACCGTTGTCGCAGAAGTTCGAAAAAGTTGCTCGCAAAAGCCCGTTTGACAGAAATGTTTAAAAAGTGTTGGGTTTCCTACGAATCCGCAAGAGCGCGCGGGATGAGATTTTGACATTTTTTTGTTGAAAAACCATTGGTTTTTTGATGTTTTTATGTTAAAATCGCTCCGAACACTAAGCTTTTGGAAGGATTTCGTCTTGCGCGCGCGAATGTCCACTTTACCTTATTTTTTGCAAGGGATTCTTGAAATTTGATTATATTAGAACAAGAAATGTCATTTTATAGTGTTTTTTGCAAGGGAAAGCGGGGGGGAACAAAACAACCGGATCTTGATCACATCGAATTACCTGAGGCTTCCTCACGAAAATGATGAAAATGTAGCTGCGGCCTAGGCGGCGCAGGGGGGCCGTGCACCAGGGGTCCCAACAATAATTATTCTTTAGAATTAATAATGTTCAACAACAACAACAACAACAACGACAACACAACAACAACAACAACAACAACATCAGCAACAACAACAACGACAACAACGACAACGACAACAACAACAACAACAACAACAACAACAACAACAATCATTTTACCCGAACGCGTGGTGTTCTCCCCAGTGCCAGGGTTTTCATACGACACCAGGCAATACCCCCACTTCGTGGGGGGGCATTACAAGCTCTACCAAATTTCCAAACGACTCTTCGCCACCACCCACACCCAGCTTCCCGCCCTATGACGTTCGGACACTTCACTTCGTGGCATGCGGACGACCGTGGCTACTATTCAGGGCCCCGCGGCCGACGACGACGGCGTGCGCGCGCGAAGAAAAAACGAATGTGTCCCGCATGGTATTATTTGACAGGGATGATGGCCCTGGCAGGTGCGCAACCGTTGTCGCAGAAGTTCGAAAAAGTTGCTCGCAAAAGCCCGTTTGACAGAAATGTTTAAAAAGTGTTGGGTTTCCTACGAATCCGCAAGAGCGCGCGGGATGAGATTTTGACATTTTTTGTTGAAAAACCATTGGTTTTTTGATGTTTTTATGTTAAAATCGCTCCGAACACTAAGCTTTTGGAAGGATTTCGTCTTGCGCGCGCGAATGTCCACTTTACCTTGTTTTTTGCAAGGGATTCTTGAAATTTGATTATATTAGAACAAGAAATGTCATTTTATAGTGTTTTTTGCAAGGGAAAACGGATTACAACAAAACAACCGGATCTTGATCACCTCGAATTACCTGAGGCTTCCTCACGAAAATGATGAAAACGTGGCTGCGGCCTAGGCGCGGCGGGGGGGGCGCGCACCAGGGGGCCCAACCATAATTATTCTTTAGAATTAATAATGTTCAACAACAACAACAACAACAACATCAACAACAACAACAGCAGCAGTAACAACAACAACAACAACAACAACAACAACAACAACAGTCACACAACAACAACAACAACAACAACAACCATTTTAAGGCTGTGCGCTCTTACTTGCCCGCGAGTCATTCAACACGTATACCCTACACCCTCGATGCCCGCCCTCTTCGTCTTCGATCACACCCCTTTCGGGGGGATTATTTCTCTTTGCTGGGGCCGGCGGGCTTAGACGTACGGGCAAACCGGAACGGGCGGACAATCCTTCGGGGGCGTACATCTCTCTGCCCGCCATTGGAATTGGCGCGGGCCCTGCAAGAGGAGGAGGGGAAGAACGAGGGAGAGTGGGAGGAAGGGGAGGGGGAAGGACGAAGGAAGAGGGAAGATACCACGTTGTGAAGGCGTCCTTGGCGCGTGCGTGGTTCCTGAGCGCCGAAACGCAATTCCAGAATAATTTGTGAGGACGTCGCACGCGAGAGCGCAGTCCTGAGTACATTGTGAGGAAATCTCGGGCGGAAGCGGGGGCCCTGACTAAGTTGCGAGGAAGTCTCAAGCGGGAGCGCCGTTCCTGAGCAAATTGCACGGAAGTCTCAGGCGGGAGCGGGGGTCCTCACTAAATTGCGAGGAAGTCTCAGGCGGGAGCGCCGTTCCTGAGTCAATTGCGCGGAAATGTCAGGCAGGAGCGGGGGTCCTGAGTAAAATTCGAAGAAGTCTCAGGCGGGAGCGCCGTTCCCACGTAAATTGCACGGAAGTCTCAGGCGGGAGCGGGGGTCTTGATTACATTGCGAGGAAGTCTCAAACGGGAGCGCCTTTCCTGAGTAAATTGCGCGGAAGTCTCAGGCGGGAGCGGGGGTCCTGAGTAAAAATCGAGGAAGTCTCAGGCGGGAGCCGTTGTTGTTGTAGCCCGGGGGGCAGGGGCACAGTTTGAGCAGGAAGACTTTCCTTGAGAAAAAACAAGGTGCGAGCCCCGGGGGTGGCACTTCAATCGAAAAAAATAAATGTGCACCGGTGGGGGGGGATCAACAATAATTATTCTTCAAGAATGAGAGTTCAACAACAACAACAACAACAACAACAACAACAACAACAACAACAACAACAACAACAACAACAACAACAACAACAACAACAACAACTTGTTTTCTCCTCTGCCGCGGCACCGCAGCAGCGTCACGGACGCGGACGCACAGGTCATCACACACTGCGCACGGGTGCGCACGACG